TAGATTAGCAATAGCTACAGATAGATATATATAATTCTTGAATAGCTTAATCTTAAATAAACAGAGGCAGGATTGCCAAATTAAAAAAAAAAATTTATTATATATACTAAGTTAGTTTTTTTGAACCAATCTACTTTTTATATTAATATGAAATACAGTATAAAGTTTGTAACTCACTATATTGACATCCTAATAGTATTGAAAATTATATGTTTACAATATTCACAGAAGCATAAATTTTTTTAAAAAAATCAAAATTTTTTATTTTATATTCACATTTGTGAATATAAATAATTTTTATTAGAATGTAGTAACTTAGTGTAGTTGATAAGTTGTCACACTCCTCAAGTAACAAAACAAGAGTTCAAATCCCATTGACGACGAAATTCGAATTTAAAAAATATATTATAGTAGACTGTGTATAATCTGATAGATCAGCACTTATAATTTTGGTTATATCAGCTTGTATTGGGAGGCTGTAGAACAATAGTGTGATGCATGAGTTATACGAAACTCAAGTAAAACAGCTATATAAATCTAGTGATTAGAGTATACAAAAGCCTACTTAGTAAGTCTTGAGTAAAAAAGTAGTACAGATCTTTAATAGTACTATATAAAGGATTATCTAAGAGATCTGAATACTGATTTTAGTAAACTGAATAAGAATCAGGTGTTTGACAAACACCACACCAACCAGGCTATCAAAGAAGACTGGAGAAAAAAGACTAATTGTAGAGACCAGAAGCAGATCACAGCTTTTTCAGACCATCTGAATTGAAAGTTTGGAATACTGACAAAAGGTTTTGGTGAACTTTGCAAGGATAGTAGTAGGTAATAGTAGTAACTTCAGCTTGCAAATACTTGTTCTCAAACTTAATATAAGTTATTGAAAGTTTAGATTAGCCAAATTGAGAGTATTAAACAGCTCTAGCAACAATGTTTCAAAAATAATTTAGTTCTAAGAGCTCTAGGAAAAGCATTTAGAAATTCTTTTAACAAATAATTGTAGCAGAAATATATTAGTGATACAAAATAGATTGCATATTAGTAGATCTGTGCAATCTAATAAATATAAAAACCCATTAGTTACAATTCTGATCAAATTGTCAATTATTTAGCCAAATTTTAAATTCTTTTACTTCAGTTCTGATTAGATGATCAACAATTTTAACTGGAATTATAACTAATGGGTTCTTATATTTATTAGATTGTGCAAATCTGCCAATATGGCATTTAAATAAATAACCCTCTAGTTAGTTTGTAAGTATAGCAGCTAATGTAAAATTTAAAGTGTAATACCAATACACAAACTAATTAAATAGACAATCAAAAGTTGCTTGTGTAGCTAGTTGTACTTTCTAATATAAGGGGCTCTTTAAGTGAGCTCTGTGCCTAAATACTTGAATAAAAATCTCAGCCCAAAGAGGCTAATTAATAAAAAAATAAAAAATAAATAATTTCTATTTAATTAATAAAATTTTATTTATAAACTATTTTTTTTAATATGAATATAATAATGGACTAAATGCTAAGAAAAGGGTCAAAAAATAACAAAAAAAAGATCTTTGAAAAATCAATTTTTATTTATAAATCTTATAATAAATCATAAGAAAATATAAACTTTAAAGAGCTATACTACAAAATTTTATTAATACAACTACTTTTGTATCTTAAATGAAAAATAATCCTAACCTTATTCTAAATTAATTTATATAAAAAAATCTCTTCTGAAAAAATTGTCATCTTCGGCCCTTTTTCCAGCACCTAACCTATATGTTTACAAAAATCATCATACTGTCTTATGAATTTCCAATACTGGCTTCTAGCTCTCCTACAAAAAATTGTCCAACCCTGTAATTCTGACCAATTGAATTTCAGGATCAGGTGGAACGTAAAATTGAAACGAACAAATTTTAATTAGGAAATTACCTTTTGCAGCCTAATTAAAAAATGTTTCTTGTGATGTTTTACTAATACACGTTATTGTTCTAATTTTAACACTAATTATAACACAGGTTTCTTGGTTTTCATTTTATGCGTAACTTTTTTTACTTAGAAAACAAAACACGTTTGTTTTAAATCTGATTTTAACTTTTGGTTGGTCAAAATTACTGGAGATGACCAATTTTTTGTGGAAATGTTACCTAAAATTGCTAGATCCGGGATTACTATGATGAGTGTCGATTTGCTGGTCATATAGATAATCATAATAATAGAATCTATAATGATAATATAGATGATCATAATAATAAACGAAATCTATAATCATGACTAAATTGGATAGTATGAACGATATTAAATGGAGTTTATGCACACAAAGTAACGAAATTTACCCGCATTATTTTACATAAAAAGGTTACCTCTTTTTATTTTTATTAACATAATGAAAAATACAATTAAAAAATACAATTAAGGAGAGAAAAATAGATCACAATAATTTATAGTTAGAACGATATAGATATGTTAAACTTTGGTAACTCGAGTAACTCTGGTGGTCGAAAGGGTTATGTGGCTGTACTCTCAATTAATAGTAAATCCATTTTTGATCAGTTTACTTTTGCAACATAATTACTATTATTATACATAAATAAGTTGCGGTTGATTCGAATCGGCCAATCAGAAGTCACTGGAACTTTCATTCCAGCGGTAAAAAATCTTCATTATAACATGTAAAAATATTTTACTGCTCTAGTTAATTTCTACATCGTTAGTTAAACGGTTCCAATCCTTAGTTTTTATAATATAAATTTTTCTTAAAAAATGACTCGGCCGGATTATTAGAACAATCACGGCTATCTTCATGATTCTAAAAATTGCCGCTAACCGAAAGGTGAAATAGTGGTGGCAGAAAAAGTTCGCGATCAAGTGATTTCTGATCATTCTAAATCTCATAATGCAGCCAGAATATGGAATACATACAAAGTCAGTGATTATTTTTCACATGTATGCACGTGTGCGGATCCAATCAAATTACTTGATTTTTTGAAAATAAAACAATTTGATTGGTCCGCACAGACGCGGGTATGTGAAAAATAAACACAATTAGAATATGTACTGAACAGCAGAGACTGTTAATGTTCACATATATTAAAACTGGAGAGAGGGATTCACTCTGGATCGGGCACTGATCGTTGATTGGGTCACAATCACCTGATCGCGAATTTTTTCCGAAGCTCATCGATTCAGGTTCATAGGACGGAATTCGTTTGATTGGTTGATGTAGATCAATTGCCCGGGTAACTTATTTATATGCTTTAGAGTACTTTGTTAGAACTCAAGTGTTAATAAAAAAAAAAACGAAAAATTAGATTGCTTTTAAAAATAATCTCTAATAATCTCTAATTTAAGTAGTGTTAGCAGCGACTTTTTGAAATGACAAAGAAAAAAACAACTTGAAGAGTACTTTTTCAAAACAGAAAGTTTCGTTTAAGAACTTCATTATGCTATATTTAAAATAAACTTTGCTTAATTTGAATAGGTACGTACGTACAAGTTCTTTAGCAGTAAAAGATGCGGGCTTAATGTTTAACCAATCAGACGAATTTCGCCCTGAGATTCAGGGAGCATAGTTATGTACACATAATACATTATACGCAAATAGAAATTTTCTAAAAGCAATTCTAACATTTAACTTATTACACAGATTTACAAATTAGTACTTGTAATAAGCTACGTATGCAAAATTAATTCTTTTCTCGTAACTCAGCCGGACTTTTTTTTAGTAAAATTTTTTTTTTTTTTGCTATTATCGTTAGTATAAAAGGTTTTATACGTAATTAAAAGTTAATAGGTCGGGTGGGTGTGTCACTCTTTAACACTTATACGTATGTGCGTGCGTATATGCATACATATGTATAGTATGTGTGCTATGAGAAACGGCTAATTGATGTGCCTAAACATTTAAATTTTCAAAATTTCCAATTGTTTGCGGCTTATACTAATTATACTTTCGAAAACAATCAGCTTTTTATCAACACTTTTGTAATAAAAAAATATTATTTAATCAAAAAAAGAATTTGCCATAACTTAATGTATATAGAATAATTCTGAGTCGTAACGTCTATTTATAATTTTTTTCAAATCTAAAAGTTTTTCTAATTAGGAAACGAACCAACTTTTTCAGGATATTTTAATTTATGCATATTATATTTATGGAACATGAAATTCACTGTGCCATATCGATATAGTATAATTGACTGCGTTATTTTTTTATATCGACATTGTATAGTGATATGTAATTTTAAATATATATTTTTTGTTTCACATGAATACTTTATTTCGAAAGTAACCAATTATACCATTTATACGCATTGAATGCAATGAATACATGTAGGTTGACCTATCAAACTATGCCCCTGAAATTAGATCTTCGTGCATACATCAAAAATGCTAAATAAATTTACCAATTTAGGCGTGTTATTTGGTGTACCAATTTTAACTTCAAGATAATACATATATATATATATACTATGAATGAGTTCAAAGTCGAAGTTAATTTGCAAAGCCAGCATAGCCGGTTTCCTTTTTTTAACTCCTACTGGTTATTCCTTTTTTTTTTTTTTAACTCCTACCGGCTTAATCGCTGATTTTTAATCCGGTCATTGTCGTCGTCGTTATGGCTAATACGTCATCTATAAAAAGCTTATCGTAATTAGCCTCACGATTGATTGATCAGTCATTAACACTAAGGTTTCTTACGTTCTTTTTTTGTTTTTTTTTTATATACACACTTCTATTTAACTTTGCCACGAGTAAATCTTATATCTGTCAATTTAATCTGTAAAGATGCTAATTCAAAAAACTAGTCGTTGGTTTGTCATTTTTATATGGTTGATAAATACGAGTTTTGGCGCACAACTTAATTGTGATATCCCCATATACTGTTCTGGCCCAATTCTTGAACAAATTCAATTAGCTCGCTTATTTAATGATTCAAAAACTTTTGTTGATATGGTAAAGTTATTTATTTAAAGATAATCTAAATTATCAAAATTTTTGATCTAAATATGGGTGAGTTTACTTTAACAGCCAACAAAGAAACCCCTTAATGAAGTTTTAGAAGCAGGAAACAAACTTCCTCAAAATGCATCCAAATCTACACTACAAGACTTTGTCAACACATATTTTTCTAAAGAAGGCCAAGAATTAGTTCAAATCGAATTACCCAATTTTAATCCATCTCCATCTTTCCTTAAAAAAATTAAAGAACCAATTATTCGTGAATTTGCCAAACAAGTACATAATTATTGGTCAAACCTTACGCGCAAAGTTGATCAAAGCTTTATGTGTTCAGGATGTGTGTCGAGTTTTATCCCGGTCAATAGAAGCTTTGTAGTACCCGGCGGAAGATTCCGAGAAATTTATTATTGGGATAGTTATTTTGTTATTGAAGGATTGTTGGTTAGCGAGATATATGAAATTGCTAAGAATATGATTGAGAATTTTTTGGATTTGATAGAGATTTATGGGTTTGTGCGTAAGTAAAGTATATTTTTAACTTTATTTACATACCTAAATGTCAAAATCATGTCAATTTTATTTTCTATATTGTTTTTTTTACTAACTAAAATATTTTAATTCAAGCCAACGGTTCACGAATATATTATTTAAATCGATCCCAACCTCCATTATTAACTCAAATGGTGAAAATTTATTATGAAGCCACTAATGATACCTCATTACTTCGTAAAGCATTTCCAACATTGCTCAAAGAATACAATTTTTGGTATAAAAACAATACAATAAGTGTACATAAAAAAGATAAAACATATCATTTAAGTCATTATGATGTTTATAATTTTTATCCACGCCCAGAAAGTTTTTATGAGGATTATACTACAGTCGAACTGGATTCATTTAATTTAACTGTGAAACATGAATTATACTCTGACATAGCAACAGCTGCAGAATCAGGATGGGATTTCTCATCGAGATGGGCAAGAAATCCTTACATTAAACCACCAACTAACAGTTCTAGTAATAACTTTGAAATTCTTCGTACGTTAAATACTAGAGCTGTAGTCCCGATTGAATTAAATTCAATTTTATATATGAACGAAATTACCCTATCCGAATTCGCGAAACAAGTTGATGATTGGAAAACGGTAAAGGAGACGGTAAACCGGCTAAAGAAATCGGCGGAAGAAAGACTTGAAGGGATGATCGAATTACTTTGGGATAGTCACACTGCAACGTTTAGAGATTATAATCTGACCAGTAATACTCAATCTAAAATATTTTCTCTCGCAGCATATTTTCCATTTTGGTAAGATTTTAAAAATATTTTACGTAGTGTCTTTTTAAATTATAATATTACTAATATTGTTACTAATATTTTTTTTATTTCTAGGGCTCGAGCATTACCAGAAGAACTGCTTACAGATTCGAAAAATAATTACAAATCTTTTTCTAATGTATCATACCTATTATCAAAATATAAAGGTTGTCCACCAGCTACAGAAATCAATTCCGGTTTACAATGGGATTTCCCAAATTCTTGGCCTCCATTGATTTATGCAATAATCAAAGGTCTTTTAAATTCTTATCATGGTTATTATAGCAATTCTCAAAATATAGAGGATCCAATGTTCTTAGATCTTGCATTGAATATAAGTCAACGTTATGTTTCTTCTGTATTGTGTGCTTGGTATTCAACGGGTGGATCCATACCCGAATTATTGACTAAATTACAAGGCACCACCGATGTTGGACATATGTTTGAAAGTAAGTTAATTTCTTTGCAAACTCTAACGATAGTTTTATAAATCATTTATAATTATATAGTTTATAATTACTTTTTAATTAAACTATTTCATTCGTGATTCATAGAATACAGCGCGTTAGAAACCGGTGTGCCGGGTAACGGCGGTGAATATCAAGTTCAGGATGGATTTGGATGGACAAATGGTGTTTTATTATGGATAATGTCAAATTTTGGTGACAAATTAGAGGTTCCAGAATGTATTAATAATCAATAATTGTTTGTTTTTAATTTAAAGCAAATTAATAGTACATACATATGCATATCAGAATATCTTAAAACATAGATTTTTTTATCAAGTATGTATTTTTATAGAAAAATAATAAAACGCATCATTCGATTCGTTTTGTGGATCTGTGCGATTTTCGTGACCTTGTAAGTTATCGAAATTTTGGTTCGACCCCACATATCTAATATTGAATTCATGAATTGAATTCAATTCTATAAGATCAATAAAATCCATCATATTTATAAAAGCATAATGTTCCCCTTTTTTTTTTTTTATGATATATATTAAAGTTTAATGCTACTGTACTGTATATGTTATAATCTAAGTAGTTTAATATTCTAAAATTTAAATTTTAGAATTTCCATAAAATTAATGTTCTATATAATTAATTACTTTTTGATTACGCTTGATTGCGCCGGCGAATAAATCAATAAAAGACATAAAATAAAATTGTTAAAATTCGTTCGCGTATTTTTTTTTTAACAAATGTCGCATTCACATTGATAAATGCCAGAATGAAGAAATCTATCTATGTATATATATGCTAGTGCTGTACATTGTATGCATGAGATTTTCGGGCTTTGCGTGAAAAATTAATTGCGCCAATCGTACATGTAATGGATGTCGGTTGTGTTATTAGGTAAATATATGCCGTCTTCTATTTTAAGTCTATAAAACATCCTCAACCTAACGTCCTACTAGTAAAACATCAAAAGTTATTCGAGAAAAATGTCCAATGTTCCATAAAAAAAATTGTCCCATGCTTTTTTTTTTGACCGTATAAATAAAATAAAAATCATCCTTCCACAGGCATTCTACGTTTTGGCTTTGGTGCACGTTTTGGCCTCGTTGATAAGCTATTTACTGCACGCCATTCGCTTGGTAGTGAAAATCGAAAGTCATCACGCATGACTTCTTCCGGGAACTTCCAATATTGTTTTAGCGTGGCTACAACTTTCTGAAATGAAGAAACAGCAGCCTATTGAATTAATTAAAATATAATTAGTCGATCGATAAGGACCATTTATTATTCATATAAAGACGGACCGAATTTGGTTTTACGGAATTTAAACCACCAATCAACTGATATTGTTCTAAAGGTGACAATTCAGGTCCAAGTAAAGCTGACAAACAGGCACTAGCGGATGCTGATAATGGTTCCAAAACGTATCCGCCTATAATTATAATAAAATTTTTTATATACCAACAAATATATATATTTCAAAAAATATATAATAAACACTATAAATTAATTAAACCTTCAAGAGCAAGAACAATTTTCCCGTTAGCCAAAGATTTAAGCATCTGTGTCATGAATGCATAACCTAATATAAATGATGATAAAATATGATAAAATATTATTTATGATAAAATATTATTAACTTATTAACCAATGTATTTATTTTAAAACTGAATTTTACCTCTAGGAGTAATTTTATAACCGCCAATCTTGTAAACGTCTTGATTAGTGTGATGAATTTCAAAAAAAAAAAACATCTAATCGGTATGGTATATGGGGAGGTCAATAGAAAAAAGGCAAATCTTTTTAATAATAGATATGTATTTTTAAAATTAAAATATCGCAACAACTACCAAATAAAATTTAATAAAAAAAATTTTATCAAATTTGATTAAATTTATTTAGTAGTTATTGAATCATTTTAATTTAAATTTTTACATTGAAAAAATTTGCCTTTTTTCAGTTGACTTATCCCATATATTCAACTTAATATTTAATACTTACAAAATCATCATGGCCTTCAGCAGCGTCAAAACCAGCAGACACGATAACCAGGTCAGGGTTATATTGCATGGCAATTGGCATCACTATATGCTTGAATGCAGCAACATACTCGGTATCACCCATCGCATCAAGTTCTAAATTAAAGCAGCATTAAATATAATTTATAATTTATACAATTAACTATAATTCAAAATAATTAAAATGAAATACTCACTATCGTCTTCGGAAGAAAAAGTAATATTAACGTTTTTACCTAGTCCATTACCCGTACCAAGGTCAGAGGGTGAACCAGAGTAAGGATAAAAGTTACCATTATCCCAACGGTGCAATGACAAATACAGTACGTCATCACGATCGTAAAACATGTCTTGTGTGCCGTTTCCATGACTAATTGATTTATTTTATTTTATTATTAATGGAGCCAACATATTAATAACAACATATTAATAATAATATATTTATAATTACTTACTGAATGTCCCTGTTTGGGGTTAAAAAAATTAGTCAGCGTGATCATTATCAAACAATTATAAAAAATATAACTATATAATTAATGAGATAAATCTTACCAGTCAACTATAAGAATTTTTTTAACGTGATTAGGATAATTTTTCAAAACCATGTTCGCTGCAATACCTATTAACAATATGAAATAAATAAAGAAATTGATTATGTTAGACAGTAACTTATCATTCTGACAAGTATTGGGACATCCGACACCTACCGACATTATTGAAATAACAAAATCCCCTATACAAGTATATAAGTATATAATAAGTATATAATTATAAAGATCAAATTTTAACTTTGATAGAAATAATAATATACGTACATAGCTTGATTTCGTTCAGCATGATGGCCGGGAGGACGTACTATCGCAAAACCATTGGCAACCCTAATTAATATATATACATTAAAAAAAAAAGTTTAAACCTCTGAAGGTAAAATGAACAATAAATGAGTGCGTGAGAGTGAAAACCTGGAAACCGATCATTAAATCGGTTTCCAGGTTTTCACTCTCACGCACTCAAATAAAAAATTACATACTTCCTGGACGCGACAGCGCAGACAATTTCAATAACAGACCCTGCAGCCATTCTAGCCGCATTTGGAGTTCCGGCAGGATTATAAGTAGTATCACAGCAAATGCCTAGTTCACCACAAGACATAGCATCTTTAAGAGCCGGTGGAGACCATTCAATTAATTTTTGGACTTTGCCAACTGAATCTTTTTTCTCAATATCTGCAATATCTGCAACAGATTCTTCGCAGACCTTTACATCAGAAATTTCATCGATCTTTGGCATACAAATCCTCTTATATGAGAAATACGTGGCAACATGTTCACCTACGTGACAACTTTCAAGCTCCTCCTTTGTTGCCATCCTAGAACGTATTCGTTTGACCCTTCGTAAAAGACTTTAAAAAACAATAATAAATAAATAAATAATTAATTAATTGATTAATAAATTAATTAATTAAAATTTCAATTTACCCTTGACTCTCAAAAGTTCCCATGATTTCAATACAACGCTCTGGATTTTCAGGATGACTGGTTGATTTGTTATCACGATATCTACATGGACATTCATGTAGTAACATTGTTTCATCAAAGACGATAGCGGTGTGCTCACGTGTCAGCCTACCCTCATCTGATTGGTAGAAACATCTATATTCTTGCCAAGATTTTAAATCATCTTTTCCAAGAGGACCAATTGAAACTGGAGCACTTTGAAAATAAGGCAATATATCAAGAGGGGTAACCATTTTAGCTTGCTCAGGACCCCAACCTTCGAAATGAACAAATACACGTTCTTGTAAAGCAGGATCAACATGTGGGATTGATGGTTCATCAATGTCCATAATTCGAGCAGAAGTTAATAAACCATCTTTATAACAAGCTATTCGATCACCGATTTTAAAAACTTTTCCTTCAGAATTGATAAAAGAAGGAAGCAAATCATCTTGTTGAGAACGAAACCTTCTATCGTTTGGTCTTACATAATTTGAAATAGTTTCTGGAGGAGGTTGAGTGATGAGTACAACAACATCACTTGATGGTAGTTCTTGTTTGTCGTCATCAATATTAGACTAAGCAAAAAAAAAATATATAAATATATATATATACATATATATATTCATAAGATAAAGATAATAATATATATACAAGGGATAATAGGTAAGTGAAATGACCGACAAATTATCCGAAAATCTAAAGTTTCACACGGGCCACATGGGCGTTTAATATAACTCAAAACGAGTTTATAGAGTAAAAATTGTTGACGTCGCAAGAAACAAATTTACAAAATTTGGCAATGATATATTGATTTATTTGGACATTAATTCAAAAAAATCCAAGGAAATTCATACCGGAAGATTATTTAGGTCATCATTTTCAGTAGTAGGGGTAGGAGGCCAGTAGTTAACGGGATCGTTAACCCCATATTCAATAGGAGAGGGAGGCCAGAAATCAGGAGACGGAGTGGTCTCTTCAACTCGTTGGTGTTTAACTTGCTTTGTGTCAATAGATAAGTCCGTGTTCTTGCGCTTCATAGAGCCAAAGTAGACTTGAGTGCACAAAAAATAATATAAATACAAGCAAGAAGGAAAATTAAAAATAAAAATAAAGAGGAAATGAAATCGAATCGAGTATTTAAATGATAAAAATTTTGTGGCAAATTGCCAATCAGAAGCGACGAAAGGTAGTAATAAGAAATTTAATAGGATGACGAAAGTAGCACGTGATTTTATTGTAAATCACCAAATAATGAACTGCCTGATAAAGTTGAAATTATTTTTTTTTTATTTGTAAATTCGTAGTTAAAAATTACTCAATGAACAATAATGTCGACAAGGCAATACTAGCGATATTTGAAACAGTTTAAACTCTTGTTTGAACAATACATCTGTACTCCTTTCCTATTCCTCATTTTGACAACAGCAGGATCATCAAAATGCAACACTTTTTAATAGAAAACAATATAAAAAACCAAATTTCTCTTGATAGATGAGGATTTCTTTTTAATACTTCTATAATAATTGTCTCAGATTTTATCATTTTCTCAATAAAGGAATTACTCCAGTTTGGTATAACCTTGTTGACGAGAAAGATGCTGGTATTGCGCAGATCGCGTTGTACGGTCGTTGTTTTGGTGTCGGAAAAAAAGCTTTTAAAGTAAATTAATCATGCAGATCCCGTAGCAATGATGACTATTTTATATTATATATCTGATATATTATTATTATATTAGCATTTATAAATTTTACAATTGCAGGCTTGTTTAACCCGTGTCACCCCCGATTTTATAGATGAAGGGAGGTGATAAGATGACTTGTCACTTCGTAAAGATATGATTATGGAAATCGGAAAGGACCGGTGGTTGTGTACGTGTCACATTAACTGTTAAGTAACTGTTAAGTAACTGTTAAGTAACTGTTAAGTAACTGTTAAGTAACTGTTAAGTAACCGTTAAGTAACCGTTAAGTAACCGTTAAGACAAAGATCCTATTATTGACGCAACGTTAACGTTAATGCGTTTTCTTCTAAATTACATGGTACGTACGTACACTGAAATTCTTAAAATTTTTACTCTTTCGTTGTCATTCGTTATCATTCATAATCATTCATAATCATTCATTATCAGTCGTTATCATTCGTTATCATTCATTATCATTCGTTATCATTCGTTATCATTGTGAGGAAAGAAAATTAAATTCCTGAGATTCCTAAGGTATTTTAAAACGCATAACTGATAACGGTAGTGTTTAAATGCTAATTCATAGATTGTCATAGATTGAGACTCGCCACTTTTTAAGTTTCGTACTGATTGTTTAGTTTCATTATTTTTGTTTTATATTGTACAATTATTTATGCTGTAGAATGCATGTACGTACGTACGTACATACGTAAGTACGAATGTATCATGTTTAATTTTATACACCACTACAAATAATTGAATCCAACATAACGCCATAACTTTGAAAAGATTATATAACTATAATAGGAATAAATATCATGATTAGGCAACGATTCTGTTTACGATTCTGTTTATTTATATTATTATTTTAATCCCTTATCGTTATTGATTGGATCGGGACAGTTAAACTGAAAATATACCCCAGAAAAAAACTATCATAATATAATCACTAAAAATGTATACTAATTTGAAAAGAAATTCGCATGTACGTACGCATGTATATATGCAAAAGTGCATTATACATTATTACGTACGTACGTACGTGAAAATAATGGTTTCAAAATCTATAGACCTTGACAAAGACAAAAGTCTAAGTACGTACGTACGTACGTATGTAAACTGCGAGAATATTGTATACACACGCCTTTGAGTCTGAATAAAAAAAGAAGCCTTACATTGCATCATGAACGATATCATGTGTCACGTGAAGCCATTGCCAAACTAAGGGGAATTTCACGTGTATAATTGAAACTTTTTCTTTTTTCTGCAATACAATTAGACCTCTGTGTATGAGTTTTATATTCTGAAGCAAAGGATAATGATTTCTTGTAAGATAATTTATTTCCTTAGTATCATCATGCGAATCAAAGTATGTATTACAAATACTGTTACTGTCTGTTACTAAATGTTACTGCTGGTGCAAAATATTTATATTTTTTTAAATCAAATGCAGTAAAGGTGCGTACGTACGTATGTACTTAAACGTAGGTAAGCTTCGCAAACTATATATTATGTGATAATATAAATACGTAATCCATTACCTATTAACGTTAATTGTTAGCCGCTTACCATTTACATTGCCTATCGATACTACGTATATTTGATTCTTTTTTTTTTTTGTTAAAATCTATTTAAAATTTTCAAACTTTAATATTGGTCATATTATTAATAGTGATACTTTAGAATATATATAGTAAAGTATTAAATTTTTAATATTAATTAGCAAATATATAGTTAGTTATAGTTACACCGTCGGTTTATAGTTATTTTGTAAAAAAAATGCTTACGTACGTACGTACAAATATACAGTACAATATACTATATACTGTAGTTTGTTTAAAATATTGTAAGTTATAAAAAGCTTTTTACAGTATATATAGAATTTAGCATTTGCCGAAGGTAAAATTCACCACGATATTAATATTACAGTATATGATTTATAAAAAATTTTATTCCAAATGTTAAACTTTGGAATTAAAGACTTAAATTAATATTAAGATTTTTAAATACTAAATATTTTTATTTAATATACTAAATACTAGTTATTTTGATTTATTTTGTATTAATATTTTTTGATTTAATATCTATTTTATAATAAAAACATTTAGGTTTTTTGTATTAATATTTTTTGATTTAATATCTATTTTATAATAAAAACATTTAGATTTTTTGTTTTAATAAAGTTTTGTTAATTTTTTTATTTAAAAATTTATTGTTTTTTTTACTAGTTTAAGATTTTTTAATATTTCTTATTTTTTTATTAGTTTAAAATTTTTTTTATTTCTTATTTTATTTTTGCCTATTTATTTTTTAATTATTTTATATAATATATTAAATTAATAGTTTTAGATTTAATAAATTTAATTTTAAAAATATTTTATAATTTTATAATTACTGTAAATTACTATATATTGTATTTGTTTTTTTATTAAATTATTATTATTTTTTTACTTTAGTAATTCTTTCTTTATTTAAATTAAGATAAAATATAACAAGTATACAATATATAAATAGAGGCTAATTTATTTTTTTGTATTAATAAAGAATTATTCAATACTAAAATGTAATAAAAATATATTTTATCACTTATATTCAAATAAAATCTGTCTAAATAGCTCATATTTACCTTATCTAAAATTCTAATTTACTAAAAATTTAAACTCTAAAAGTCTATATTAGATGTTTACCAATTTTGTCAAAATTACTACTCTATATAAAATATTATTAATTTAATAAAACATTCTCTAACAAAATTTCAAAAAGCGAAGTAAAGTAAAAAAAAATATAAAAAAAAGAATATTTAAAAACAAACAAATAAAAAAATAGCTAAACTAACAATAAAAATCTAAAATACAAATATAAAATTAAAGAATCTATCTACTAAATTGATACTTATTAATTAGAAAACTTAACTATATAATTATAATATTTATATAGAACTCAATTAAATTATTTACTTTATATATTTTTATTATTTTGTTTTATTTATTAAGTTAATAAATAATACTATTCAGAGGTTTAAGTCTTATAGCTTAATGATTAAACTTTCAAATCATCACAGACAAGATTAATGATTCAAGTCAAGCTGAAAGCAATTTATTAATTTGCTTCTATAACCTTTGAGTGCTAAATTAAACACAAAGCTCTGTGGCTAAGTTTAAATGCAAGTATAATACTAAAATAGAAATTTTTAGAAAGAAATTCAAATATAAAGAGTAAACATTATATATAATTATAATATTATAGAAAACTGTAACTACTGTATAAAGATTGTACAAGTAAGTCCTTCAAGACTTGTAACTTAGTTTAAGCAGTATCAATATCTCTATATTTAACTTATAGAGTATTTATTTAAAAAGGTAGTTATTAAACTGTATAAATTAATCCTTATCTGGATTAAAAATATAAGTACTTGATTAGAAAAATAATCATTTAACCAAAATTGAAATAGTGAGAAAAGTGATGAATATGTAAATAGACTATAGTAAAAAATTGGTTTTACCAAAATCAGAAACATCTTTAGCAGTATAGAATAAAAATATTATAGAAATCAAAAGTATAGAAATTGTCTAATATTTTAAATATATATAAAGATACCGAATTAAGTTCTAGTTACATCTATATAAAAGTTTATAACAAATAAATTTAAAATCTACTAACCTCTAAAGTTTACAATTCAAATAATAATATAGTATTATTGGGTTAGTATAACTCTCTAGACATAATTAGAATTATTCTGATCTTATATAACAATATACTAAAAACAAGTATAATATAAAAGTATAATATTACTGAGGTTAGTATAACTTTCTAAATACAGGTTACCCTCGTTAATATCAACCTATTTGAATTGGTTTTAAATCATGTTGATAGTGATATTAACGAGAAATCATATTAAAGTTGATATATATGAGGGAATTTATATATATATAAATTTATAAAAATTTGTTTTGTAGCTTAGGTTGATATTAACGAGGTTGATATTTACGGAAGCAACCTGTACAATCAAAATTAGGATTTTCTATAGAATAGATAGGCAATATAAGAAATAAACTTTGCTAATGATTAGTGATTATTAATTTTTAATATCAAAGTTGTAGAGTTGGCAGAGTTTGCTCATCTATTCTATAGAATATCTCAAAATTGTTCTGTATACTTGCAAAATATATTCTAAATTTCACTATAAAAGACAGTAAATGCTTGACAAAAGTTTTATTATACCTTTAACTCAGCACAGAGATAAAACAAACAAAAAATTTTTTTATTTAAAAATATATTGTATTATAAAAAAATTAATGTATTATATAATTGTTTTCAGTCTTAATTAAGGTTTTTATATGATCTCTCATATTGTTT